TAGAACCTAGGGACCCTTTTATCTGAAAAGATAAAAGTTATACTTTAATTAATTTTTGACCGTAAGTCAGCAAGTAGGCTGTGTGTCATATATATATAAATAAAGGAAATTGACTGTAAGTCAGCAAGTAGGCTGTGTGTCAAACCATAGAATCAACCGTAAGTCAGCAAGTAGGCTGTGTGTTGAACCATAAATAACCTATTAAAATAGGAAACTCAGATTGCACGCTCGCAATACCGATGACTCTACAAAAAAAATAAGTAGTGAGGATCTGGATGCATTATATGAAAAAGAAGCCAGAAGAGATGAGAAAAATAAAGCAAATATGACTCACCTATTAGCTACTACTTAGATTTATCTTTTCTTTATTTAGAGGAGATGTATTCAAGTAGCTTTTCATAACGCATTTGCAACTTTTCACAAAGATCATTTATTTCAGCCTTAGACTGGAGGGTAGTATATAGCGATTTTTCTAACTCCTCATAGCTTGTGCATTTTTTTTTAACTCTGTATCTGTATCTTCAGAAATAGATGGAATTGCATTAACATGATGTACCTCAATCTTATTTTCTACCTTGTGCATCTTAACTGGAATGTAAAAATCTTTCCCATTGCAATTGATCTTCAGTAAATCCTTATCCCTGAGTATTTGATATTTGTGGTGATAGAGGAAAAGATTGCTCAATAACAGCATAGGCTTATCATATTCAATAACTACAAAATCTAAATAAAATACACAATCCGGGGCTAGGGTTAACGGTACATTATAAATCATTCCAATAGATTTTGTCAGAACAGTGGTTGCTCCCTTGAAATAATGAGTAGTACTTTTATCGATTTTTAAACCCAAATGTTCAGCAATGTCTCTTTAACGGTACATTATAAATCATTCCAATAGATTTTGTCAGAACAGTGGTTGCTCCCTTGAAATAATGAGTAGTACTTTTATCGATTTTTAAACCCAAATGTTCAGCAATGTCTCTAGACATAAGCAAAGTATTTGAGCCAGGATCAATTGTAATTGCCGTAAGTACTAGACGTTTGATTTTACCCCGAATACTTGGAACATCTATCACATCTTTATCCTGGATAAAGTTAATTTCCATATCTTTGATAACTTCTTCATCCTCGGTATCTTTGCTTTGTTGGGAAGTATCATTTGTGGTACTAGATTTCTGAAAATTTCGTAAGATTTTACTTATAGCCTCCTCTAATAAAGTGGAATTTACAAGCTCACTTTGAATTATTTCACGCATTCGTCTCTCTAGTAAAGTCGAAGTGGGATTTTGTGATCCTTGAAGAGGGATTCAATTCTCCTTACCCTCTGAAAAATATGCATCTTCCTTGTCTTTGGATCGGGATTGTTTATCGGATGTTTTCTTAATGAGTACCCTAGGTCGATCTATTTTTTTTTAATCCTGGATACATTTACATTTGGATCTTCTTCGAATGTATCCTCCTCAATTCCGTCATAACCCTCTTGATCAGAAATAGCAGATTCATCAGGAATTTCTTCTGTATCAGAGCCTTGTTGGAACCCATCAGCAAAATTCACGTGACCAATTTTTTTCTTGGAACGCCACACCTTAAATTATTTAGTTAATGGAATAAAAATTCTGGCTTTTTTGCTTAGTTCTATTAGTCCCGAAACTAGCCAAAAGATTTTGGAAACTTTTAACATCAATCAACAAAAATTAAATTGAGATAATTGTTTGGATTTTAACTTTATGGACGGAGTTAAAGTAAAACCATTACAAAAACATTTATATGAACCGCTTAGATAGGGTTTATTTTTCTTTCTTCCTCTTGCTGATAAAGAAAATAATTATCCCCAGACAGAAAACTAATGCGAGAGCAATTGGGATAAGCACTTCTTTGCGAAAAAAACCAGAAGAGGAATTAGTTTGATTATTAACCATCATATTCTTAATTATAGGACAATTGCGATAAGTATGTCCTGGCTTTTTACAAATCTCACATTTATGCTGGATCGGCCTAGTACTTACTCTAGGACTTTTAGCCAGATTTATTGATGAATTCGGGGTGGTAGACAACTCTTCAAGCTGATCTATTTTATTCGCAACATTGACTATCGCATAATCAATTTCCATTGGTTCGAATACTCTATTATCTTCCGCTTCAAGACCCATTTCTGCATAGTTTTTCAATTCCTCGTAGTATTTGGCTTTCTCAGTTTTGGGGCAAAAATTGCGTTGAAATGGCTGGGATTCTGGTGGTTGGAATACTGGCTGTTGAATGATTTGCTGAGGCGGTTGGAATGCAGGTTGTTGAACGATTTGCTGAGGCAGTTGGAATGTGGGTTGTTGTACGATTTGTTGGGGTACCTGAGACACCATCCCATTCATATTATTTGCACTTCCGTAATTAAATGAAGAAGGCCTACGTTTGAGCCACAATTTCTTGAGATCGGTGAAAAATGCATTGATATTTGCGGGATTTGCATTTTCCATTCGATTGAAAAGCTCATCAGGTAAATGATTCATAAGGAATGACAAGGCATTAGCATCATCGTTAGCAACACCCAATATTAGGGGGTGTATTCTCGTCTCATATGTTTCCGGCATATCATTAGGTAAAATTTTTTCGTAAGCTAATCTCTGGAGAGCAACTTGCTGTGTCCCAATTGTTTCTGTCTAAGGTTGCGGGAGAAACTCCTCCAGAAATCAATCGACAGAGTTTCGACAGGTTACACATTAATTGTTTATTAGA